AGCCTAGACTCCCAGGCCAACTGAACCAGCGTTTCCGAAGGTGGGGCTGCCCCTTCAGTCATTGCCCAGGGCTCTTAGGATAAAACTCCCCAACCCATGCTGGCGTGTCTGGGCCCCACGTGGTGGCCCTGCCCACTTCGTCTTGCTCCACACTCACTCCTGCTCCATCTCTGGCCTCCTCTCTGTTGCTCTAACACACCAAGCTCTTTCCCACCCCGGGCCTTGGTGCATCCCTGTTCCCGCTGGTCTTCCTCTGCTTCGCCTATTAAGACTGTGCATCCGCGGAGTCGCCGAAACGTCACCTCCTCTGAGAGGCCTTTCCTGGTTCCTGAGACCCAGTAAATCCCTGTTAGGGACCCTCAGGAGATCTATGGTTCTTGCAACATTCTATAAGCACACTTTGTGCGATTCTTTGGTTTGCCTCTCTCTCTCCCACTAGACTACGCTGCTTTGGTTTTCTCTATGTCTCAGCACATAGCCCAGTGCCTGCCACGTAGACAGAACCCAGTATTTGGTGACGGAGGGATGGTTGAGTAGGAGGAAAGGAGGGAGGGGCGGAGGGTACGCTCACAGATGAATGTTTAGATGAGTGAGTGAATAGAGGGATGGATAGATAATGAATAAGAGAGAGAGAAAAAAAGTTCATCTCTCTCTGCCGTCTTTCCATGCCGCCATCATGGTGCCCTGAGTGGCCTGGCCGGCGTTCTCAAGAACATCCACAATGCCGAGAAGAGAGGCGTCTCCAGGTTCCTTTGGGTCATGTTCAAAGCCATCGTCTGGTTTCTCCCTGTGGTGACGAAGCATGATTCCAGGGGCAAATTGAAGTCATTGATGATCAGAGTGCGAACATCACTGTGACCGTCATTCACGTGCCGCTGAGGTCAGGGTGATCCGCCCCAGATTGGACGTGGAGCTCGAACATCTAGGAAAGAGGCCGAATCACCTTCTCCTCTCTCACCAGTTTGGTTTCGTCGTACTGATGACCTCAGCTAATAGCATGGCTGCGAGGAAGCAAGACAAGAACACGCAGAAGAGAAAACCCCGGGGTTCTTTTTCTAGGGATTTAATACATACACATTTTTTTTAAGTTCATGATTGAGGGTTTGTCCCATTGGCTTGTGAGTGCCTGGCACATGATAGGTCCTCAACACCCGATAACCGTCATGTACAGAGCACCAGCCACATCGTACAGGATGGATAAGACACAGTCCCTGGCCTCCTGGGTGTCTCCTCTAGCAGGGGCGGCACTGAAGTGGCTAATGGTGATACAGTGTGTCCCATCAACGTATGGGGAAAGGAGGAGAAGGGCAAATGGAATGAGTTCAGGGAAGGCTTCCCGGAGGAGGTGACATGGACTCAACCCTTAAATGGCATTATACAGTCTGGTGTCTTGGGTTCTTCTTTGTAACTTCCTGGTAAATTTCCATGTGACCCTGAGCCAGGCTTTTCCCCACCCTGGGATCCCCAGGTCCCCTTCTCTAACATAAGGTTGTTGAGCATCACAGCCTCCTTTAAGAAGAATCTCTGAAAGGCAGAGCCCTTCTTACCAGAAAAATGCAGACATGTCTGTGTGTAAGGGGCAGGGAGGCCTTCACGGATCCCCCTGGAAGCCATCGGTGGAGCCGAGGCTAAGATCCCAGAGCTCAGGGATCCTGGGGACCCACAGGCACCTCACCCTTATCCCTGCAGCGCTGGCCCTGCCCTCAGTCAGAACCCCTCTCTCTAGACTGTGCAGGCCCAAGCAGCAGAATCAGTGACCCAACCTGGAAAAGCCCATCAGGCCCAGGGCTGCAGACAGAGCAGGGGCCTGGGGAGGGGGGGGCACTCCCTGAGCATCACAGCCTCCTTTAAGAAGAATCTCTGAAAGACAGAGCCCTTCTTCCCAGAAAAATGTACAGACATGTCTGTGTGTAAGGGAGGGGGGGAGAGGCCTTCACGGACCCCCCAGAAAGCCACCGGTGGTGCCAAGGCTAAGATCCCAGAGCTCAGGGATCCTGGGGACCCACAGGCACCTCACCCTTATCCCTGCAGCGCTGGCCCTGCCCTCAGTCAGAACTCTCTCTAGTAGACTGCGCAGGCCCAAGCAGCAGAATCAGTGACCCAATCTGGAAAAGCCCATCAGGCTCGGGGCTGCGGACAGAGCAGGGGCCTGGGGAGGGTGGGGGGGGGCACTCCTGCTGGCTGGGGAACCGGAGTTCAGGTTCTGGGAAAGCGCCCCCAAGCAGCCTGCCCATGACCTCGACTAGTTTATCACCATCTGCCCTGGGGAGGAAGGGGAGCGTGGGCCGCCCTGGGCAGGCTCCCAGACAGGACACTGACCCCCATCTGCTGCCCAGACTGGAGTTCCCGGATGCATCCTTCATCTTCCCTCATCTAAACACCCGCGGCCCCAGGGGGTCCACCCCTCCCAGCTGACGTGTGTCCTCAGCTGCATCCAGCTTGCCAGCGGAGGGAGAGCGGCCATCCCATCAACACGTGAGCCACCGCCATCACCTGCATCCCTTTCCAGCCAGCCAGCCCTCATCCAGCATTTATTGAGCACCTATTGTTTGCAAGCATCTGTGAATGAGATGAGGAGGGCTTGCACTTGTCTTCTCGGAAAGTCTCTGCCTCCTGGCCCAGGTCCCCCGCCACACCCCCAGCAAGATGCTGCAGCCATCCCACTCACCTGGAGCAGGGGTGGGCTTCCGGAAATTGAGCTCTGGGCTGGCTAATCGGGTTCTAGGAGAATCTGCTCTGGGTTGGTGTTTGGGCGTTGCTCTTAGCTGCTGTGTGATCTGGGCCTGTTTCTTGCCCTCTCTGGGCCTCACTTCAGATTCCATGATTCCATCCGCTCTGAAATGGGCCCACCTCACTCCCTGCCCCCAGAATAGTTGAAGAAGAGAACGCTTCTCTAGAATGGTTTTAAGATCTTTCTTTAGACCATCTCTGGGTCTTATTCATTCCGTCAAGCACTTATTGAGCACCTAGTATATGCCAGGCCCTGGACTGGGCACCGGGAATGTAAAGATGACCAAGCTTCCAGACGGCGACCCACGGGCACCTCACCCCATGCCTGGCGCCCTGCTTGGCGTCCTGAGACCTCCTGGTCCCAGGCGGGCCTAGCGAGGATTTAGGGCGCCCCAGGGACTCGTGTGAGGGCTCTCGGCTGCGATCTGTCTCCTCCCCTTCCTATGCCAGGCCCTGGACTGGGCACCGGGAATGTAAAGATGACCAAGCTTCCAGACGGCGACCCACGGGCACCTCACCCCATGCCTGGCGCCCTGCTTGGCGTCCTGAGACCTCCTGGTCCCAGGCGGGCCTAGCGAGGATTTAGGGCGCCCCAGGGACTCGTGTGAGGGCTCTCGGCTGCGATCTGTCTCCTCCCCTTCCTCCTCCGCCCTCTCCTCCTCCCCTCCCCTCCCCTGAGCG